TAAAAGAAAACATTAATTTTTTAATAATAATTTTAATTTCACCAAATATTGATAATACAATTAATCAGAAATCATTTTTTTGAAAAAGTTTATATAACAATTAAAACACTCAAAATTAGAAAGCTACTTTAGAAAAACAATTGCATCTAAAACTAATCATAACAATTTTGCACAAAATTTTTTAGTTTTACAACAATGCACAGACATTTTTAGTCTTATACAAAAATCTTGAGATGAAATTTATGACTTTCCGTGTTAGTGCTAAGCACTCTCTTCTTTTGAATGGTTATTGGTCATTTCGTGGTCAGTTTTACTTGAGAATAGGTGCTAGATATTCCCCGGCGTAAACATAAGGTTCATAAGTGGGCGATCTTATTATCCCACTGCTGTACGAAGCCGCCAGTCCTGGATGGGCGCCGTACGACGGCACGGAGTACGCCGCGGCGGCATAAGCCAACGGTGCCGCGAATTCGGAGTATATCGGAGCGATCAGAGCAGGCTTAGCCGATGCGGCGGCCACCAAGGCAATGCACAGTATTAACTGAAATATAGTAAAAATTTCTTAATTGTGCATTCCCACACAAGATTGTTTCAAAACAAGATTTTGATAGCTCAAAATATTCAAACGCATACGCACTCACTCACACAGACACACACACACATATATATATATATATATATATATATATATATATATATTACTTGAATTCATTCTTCAAATATAATAGTTTTCAAGACATCATTTAAAATACAAGCACCTTCTCGAAACGGATATAAACTCACATAAATAGCTTCAAAATGATTAGAATTCTTGGCGAATTAGCATATTTTATTCATATTTTACTAATCAACAGTTTGGCACCGAATTAAAGCGTTAATTTGAATTTGTCACTGTATAGTGCAGATAAAATACTTATTAGAAAGAAAGTGTTTGAAAATTTATACAGAGCTTAAACGAGATCTATATTAAATATTCACATTATCTAATTGTTATTTTAATTGTAATTAAAATAAAAATCTAATTGTTAATAAAGAAATGATCAAGCTAATACTAAGTTTATTTTACTTACCACTTTGAACATTTTGCCTTTTTATTGGAAATGTGTCTTGGTTAACGTTGAATAATAATGTGATCATGAAGTTGCACGTAGCCCTAGTGCTTTATATACCAGCTGGATAATCACCCCTCTTCGCTTGCACATTGCAGAGTCGTTAGTGATAACAACAAAAATAAAATCAACCTCAGAATATCGTTCACATTTTTATTGAAGGAAGCATTTCATAGATAAGGATCATTTGTTTCAACTATACGTTTTACTTATATTGGATATTGATAAATGGCAGTTATACACGACGAAGCCTGATCAATCATAAGTAGGCATTGAAAAGATATTTATCATTATATTTTTTTAAGATTTTAACTTATTATTTGAATTTACTAAATATAATATTTCATGTTAATATTTGATCTGTACTTTTTTGGCGATTCAATTACTGATTCTCGCTGGTAAAAATCTACTATTTTTACCTTATCTACAGTAAGACTCATTTACAAGAATTAGGATATTAATCAAGAAATTAGTAAATAAAACTTATTACTAATTGACTTAAATATGAGGTTGTAGTATTCTTATCCTAATTCTAACATACTTTCTAGGTTTATGTATATTATCTAACTAGTAATAGTAATTCCAACAGTACATACTCAACTGCAGATTTTATGTACTCAACGTTAATTTGAAGTTCTAGAAAGGCATTTATTTAAATCATGTATCACAAATAATTGAAATAATTATGAATAAGATGCAATATGAGCAAACATAAAACAAATGCAACTCCATGCGTTATTCATCACTAATCATAATAAGATGGACATTATTTGTTTGGAAATGCTAAAGCCGCTTTATTTTCCTACTAATTTTATTGTAGTGCAATGTTGATTGATTCTGCGCGAAGATTCTAGAAAGAGACTTAAAGAAACCAGTCGTGGCCGCTGAGATAAAACGTTTTCTGCGGGCAAGTCCGCGTTGTCTCGCGTTATGTGAAGGTCATATCATATCAGATACTTGTTACCATTGCTCGATTATCTTCATCTTTTTTCTGAGTTCACCGCACTTTTAAGCGGCGGCAACCATTTCTCCATATGACTCTCTATCGGCATTTTAATTATTGATTTTTTTGGTTCTAATTAGTTTTTAAGTCAACATATAATGTAAAGTAAACTTTCGTAAAATGTTTAGGAAAATGCATTGGCTACATAATTATTATATAACACAAATCTTAAAGAAAAATAATCGCTATTGCGACTTTTAAATCAGTTTTGTGCTTTAGATATATTTAAGTATATACTTACATACATATGCATGTATAAATGTATATATATATATATATATATATATATATACAGCGGTGTTGTGCTAATATTTTTTTTGCCGGAACGCTAAAATTTAAAATCCGGTTCATAAACCGGTTCAAAAAAATTGATATATTTCGATAAGAACTCACAAATCTAATATATTGACTTTTTATATAATTAACTCTATTATACACAGCTAGTCTATACATTAAATTGTACAAGTATGAGGGAATCATTGAGTACATAATTTATATTCTTCAATGACATTAATCATATTTATTCTGGTATTATTTGTATTCATTAATACCTACAGGTATTTATTATGATATAAAAGTACTCAAGATTTATTACAATACTTTATAAGACTTAACCTAATAATATGATAGATAACCTATTACCTATCATACTACATTATATTATTGTATATCATCGATAAATATCTATTATCTATCATACCGTGAGATATCTATACCGTCATTAACTTATTATATACCTACAGACCTTTTACTTCTTACTTTATATATTCACCTATATTATATAGGTTTACCTTACGCCCTATGTACTATCTCTACCTATCTATTGCCTATACCGGGAATTGAACCCGGGACCTCCGCGTGGAAGTCGCGCACCTTAACCACTACCCTATCGGGTACCCCCACTAATAATATAATATGGGACGCACTGTTGTTTCCGCGGGTTATTTTCTAATTAATTAGATAATTAATACTAAGGTGGCGCGACGACACGCGAAAAAAAACGGTTGATTGTAGGGTTCAGTGGTGTAGTGGTTAAGGTCGTCGCGTGCCACGCGGCGGACCCGGGTTCGAATCTCGGTAGGGTTAATGTAGCGTGTAAGGGAAATTATAGGTAATAGGATATATAGTAGATATAGGTTAGGTGTATTCGGTATACAATGTAGGGATTTGAGAGTATATAATGAAATATAGCGTATGGTACAGATGTAAGGCGTGTAGTATAGAATGCAACGTATAGGCACACGTAAGGCTATAAAAATACATGAATAGAAACCTATGATGTAGATGTTAGCGTATAAGAAATGCGAATGAATGTAAGATTCAATTTATAAATATTATTTTTTCTATAAGAAGTTCATACACCTCAATTTGTTACTAAATTAAAAACGACTTTGATAAAACCAGTGGTTTTGTGCTAATATTTTTTTGCCGGAACGCTAAAATTTAAAAACCGGTTCTAAAACCGGTTTTCATGTTTTTCCAGTTCCGTTCAAAAAGGAAAGAAACATAAATTATTACAAAACCCATTTTGTGCACATATATGTATGTTTATTACAATAATAACATTTAATAAAAATTAGTTGAATAATAACGTATAAAATTTACTTATTAAATCATTTTCTGTATGTAGCGAAGTTTTTATATTTTTTCTTGCCGGAACGCGTTCCGGCTCAAAAATGATTTGCCGGAACGACGTTCCGGCGCGTTCCGGCTCGACAACACCACTTTATATATATATAGGTGTGTATATACATATAAACTGCAAGTGAAAGTATGCAATTGCATGCTATCATATTAGATCACTTATTTCGTACTATTACCAAGAGCTCTACGACGCATTTCCAATTTGGCACTTATTTGTTTGTAGATCTTGCCTGCAATTAGTAGGTGCTATTGCAAATGGTTCTATGGTCATAATATTATAATTAACAGGTTAAGATTTTTTTCCATTAATTTATTTGTATATAGCGTTAATAAAATAGTGTTTTTTTAAATATATTACTCAAGCTGCCACATTAACGTAAATGCCGCAGTTATATATATTTTTATTTTAAAGTACTTATATTTTAACAATATAAGTACAATAAATTATAGATATATATATATATATATATATATAAATTAATTTTAAAGTATTCATATTAGTAACAATATATCACCTTTGTGCTACTACTACTACTATATATATGCAATAAAGTTTCGGTTTCCACTCTTTTTGTAACATTACATATCTAATACAAATTTTTAATGTTGTGGAAAGAATTGGAATCAGGTGAAACAAAATATTATACATTACGATATACATTTATACATTTATCAATACGTATAATATAAGAATTATAAAATCATGCACAAAGTTTTAATGAAAATATTGATAAATCAAATAACATAAATTTAAATATAATTTTTCTCGAGTTTTTTCATTTAAATTGCTCATTAAGATTTGAACTAAATTTCTTTATATCCTGTAGGAGCATTATATTTATATAAGGCTCATGTGTAGATGTGGTATTTAAAATATACACTTTTTAGCATATAAAATATCATCACTATTAATATATAATATACTGGATGATCATAAAGTGATTATGTACGTTAGTGATTTTGACATGGAAGAATTATTCATATTATTATGAACAATCGTAAAATGTTGATAATGAAATAAAATTCATATATTTTGTGGATGTAATAAAATTTATTTCGGAAATTTAGACAAATAAAATGATCACAAATGCTGGTTTGACGTACAAATGTAATTGTTTCTTAATACTAGTGGAATCGCAACAGTTTGTCATGTTTTTAGTATTTCTCTAATAGTAAGTCGTATACGGTGATGCGTAAGCGAATGGAGCTTTGTAGTATCCAGCGCTGTAGGCATAGGGCGAAACGTAGCCAGCGGAGTATCCGCTGTAAGCCAAAGGAGCCGAGTAAGCGGAGTAAGCGGAGTAAGCGTAGGGTGAATAGGCGCTCTTGTAAGCGTAGGCGTACGGCGAGGAGTATGCAGAGTAAGCAACTGGAGCAGCTACGTAGCTAGAGGCAATAGGCGCAACATATCCTGGTTTGGCAGCAGCAAACGCAACTAGGCAGGCGAATACGAACTGTAAAACATAACAATTGAATTCATTGAGGTTTTAATATTTTAACTAATAGTTAGAATCGTTTATTTGCAAACTTCGAACACACTAACAATCTCGAATATGTTTTAATTTTGTAAATTATTATAGTTTACACTCTTTGGCAAACAATCGTAAGCATAAATAAAAAAGACAACGGAATATATAATTTGTGTCAAAGTCACTATAATGTGAAATCTTTTTAAACGTTTTGTCATAATTATCAGTGCTGAATAACCTTTTGATACACCTAAATTTTAATATTTTAATCCTTGATATATTTTGATCCTACTCACCAGTTTGAACATGTTGAAAATATGCTTTTTTCGTAAAACGAATTGAAATAAACACACAAGTACAGTGCTGGAACACTCGAGAGGATCTGATGTGTCTGGTGGCTTCTGTCTCGGTTTATATAGCTCATGATGTTAAATCATTCCCGTACGGCGAGAGCACTGAACGTGCCCGTCTTGAAGGCCGAACCATGAGCCTCGGAGCCCCTTGGAATACATATTACTACCAGCCAGCTGTAGTCAGCGAGCCAACAACGTCCATGTGTCTTAAACACGTTTGACATCTAGCTTAATATTAAATTGTATTACGAAGACACCTGAAATTTAGGAAAAGAAGGAAACAGAGGTAAACTCTATGCATTAATTCTCTGTCTAATATAAATCTTTTTCTTCTGGAATAGTTAAAAATTAAGATTGTCCGTGCAACATGTATCGATAACCAAAAATCTAAATAGCATTATTTAAATAACATTAATAAATAATTCATTCTATTCGGGCAAATAGCTCAATATAAATACTAATCACGATGTAATAAAGCTCAAAGATCATAAAAAATTGATAAATAAAATTAACTCAAACTGCTGAGTAAAATAGATAGCTCAAATAGCTGATGTATTGAACAATTTGTTATTGTTTGTTTAGAGATTTAAAAAAACAGCTACATAAAAGAATGACTGTACTACTTTATATACCATCAATAAAAAACATGAATTTCTTTCAAAAATTTATTTTAAATCCATACGTTTCGGCTATAATCCTATCCTTCATTCAGTGGAAACTAAAAATAAAATTAAAAACTAAAACAATTGAATTGGAGTGAAAAGAAAAAATAAAATAGTAAATAGTACTTACAATCAGTGAAAAAAAATTCCAATTTAACACTAAGATTTACTGATTGTAAGTACTATTTACTATTTTATTTTTTCTTTTCACTCCAATTCAATTGTTTTAGTTTTTAATTTTATTTTTAGTTTCCACTGAATGAAGGCTAGGATTATAGCCGAAATGTATGGATTTAAAATAAATGTTTGAAAGAAATTCATGTTTTTTATTGATGTTATGCCCGATTATTAGACTTTGTTAATACATATGTCATCATCAAATTCAGAATAATACATAATATATATATATATATATATATATATATATATATATATATTTAATCAAACATCAAATTCAAGACTATTCAAAAATATATATATATATATATATATATATATATATATATATATATTCTTAGTTTCAGTAAATAGAACTTTAATTTAAAATAGTACGTTTTTGCATACATCAGATTGCAATAATCACAAATGCATTGTTAAAACTATAATACAACATTTGCTATGTCATTATCAGTTTATAATAAGTGTCTGGAATTCTTATTTCAATAAATATATATTATTACAATAAACGTCATACTAATGAGGAAATTGTCAGTATTATTTGTCGTATCTGAAATGTCGCTTGAAATATTCTGATCGGAACCCGTTCCATCAGCCCTTACTATCGTCCAGTGCCTGGCGTGGTCTCGCGTTCGGTTGATAATCCGCCGTTCTCGGATCGTTCTTCGGTCGCGTCCGGTTTGTCGTCAGTGCCGCCGGGCAAACTCTTTGCAGCAATTTGTTTTATTATTATTGTGGTCGAGCTGCTCAAGCGTGCAGCAAGCGTGATTGCGGTCGCAATTATCATCATATAGGCACTGATTTCAATTTTTTATCTATTTATGCGGATTCCCACTCTTTTCAAGGTAATCCGGAAAAGATATTCGCAATATGCATCAATAGAGATTAACTGTTTTGGTTAACGTTTAGGCAAATACCCTTATTCATAACACTTACAATTAAAAAATTATAAATTTAATTGTAACTGAATTTTAGTGGTGCGTGGAACATAAATTTGAACTAGCATAATTCAAAGATTGAATTCATTTTTTATAGTCTGCCTCTATATTTTTTTTAGTAATGTATTTTTAATTTATTTATAAATCTTATATAATCATAAAGTCTTAAATAAGTAGTTTCAATAATAATCCAGTATAGTATTTCAATAATTATATATTTAAATATTATATAAAAGTTTTTCTGATATTTCAGTTCTTTCTTCGCAATTGCGTATAATATAAATTTTTCGTTTCCATTTCATAGTTTGAATCAAAAGATGCATAATAAACCCATTGTTATATAATGAATACTTTTATTTATCTGTGAAAATTTATAAATAAAATAAGAAAATCAATATGTTTTAAAATAAATTTTATTTAAAAAAATATGGTTAAGAAGAAAAATGAAAAATCTGGGCATTTGGTAAAGGAACTAAAATTTTGAGTTTTCAGTCATTAGTGTTCCTGCTAAATCTTTAGTAATAAGCCAGTGGGGCTTTGTAGTATCCAGCGCTGTAGGCATAGGGCGAAACGTAGCCGGCGGAGTATCCGCTGTAAGCCAGAGGAGCCGAGTAAGCGGAGTAAGCGGAGTAAGCGTAGGGTGAATAGGCGCTCTTGTAAGCGTATGGTGCTGCATATGCGTAAGGTGAAGCATAGGCGGAGTAGGCAAGTGGAGCAGCAGCGGCGTAGCTCGTAACCAGGGGCGCTGAAACCACTGGAGCGACTACTCCTGGCTTAGCTGCGGCTACGGCCATCAGGCAGGCGAGAACGAACTGAAAGCAATCAAAATTATTATTTTCAACAGAGAAAACGTATAAAACTATTATCGATTATACAATAACTTGAATTTATTCAAAATGACGCGGCTATAAAAGTGAATAAAAAATCTATTTTGTTACATTTTTGTCAATCATATATGAAATAGTCAATGGCTTTTTGTCGTGTATTGGGTTGATCCAATAAAGTTATAAAAACTAATAACTGTTTGAGTGAAGCTTACCAACTTGAACATGATGAGTTGGTATTAAAATTTCAGTTCTATTGAACTAAAAGACTGTCAATACTTTGATGCTTGTCGGTAAATTGCTCTGTTTTATATACTACAATGAAAACGAAATTGTTCCTGAAGAGGGGAGTGTGCAAGGTTAATCTTCGTTCGACGAATGATCAGTAAAATTCAAAAGAAAAAAAAATTGGCTTAGGCTATGATTATTACTCTTGGAATTAGTGGACACATAATATATCTGAAAAGATTATACCAGTGAAAAATAAGATTTGTCAAATTAGTGCATTTATTGGTAATACATATACGTTTATTGTTCATCCATTTTTGTGAAATTTCTGCAAGTTATAATTAAATTAATAGACCATAAAATGATCTATACAATTCCTGACGCGCTTTTTCCATCGCTTTTCATAATTTCAATATAATTTGAATAATAATACAAATATGTTTAAATTTTGCATTAAAATATTTATAGTAAACTCAATATGGATATTTTGTAATTAATATATTAAATATATATATATATATATATATATATATACATACAAATAGTAAATTGTATTTGCCAATCAATTTTTTTCCATTCTAATGCATTCTTTATTATTTTTGCTGATTGTATTAGCATGAGATCATAATACTTTTTTAAATACTGGATAATGCATTTCATCAATGAATTGTTGTCTAAAATTAAAAATAAAAACGAATGCAGACTTTTTTTTAAATCTTGTTGCGCGTACTTCCTACGGCGTGGAGTAATGTTTGGACCAGTTTCATTACGTTTTTTAAACGAGATCATGGCGTGTTCAAGTTTCTCATATGGTCGAATAACTAATAACAAAATGAGTAGTATAATAAAACAAGTCAGTTGAATCATTTGATTCTTAAGGCCAGGCTTGTTATTGGAAACCGCGCCCAAAATAATTTATGTTGTATCAGGATGTTGGGAGACGACGGGATTTGGTGAAACGACTTGAAATCAACCTGTATAATTTTCTGAATTCATTGTACGCATTAGGTGTAATCGCAATCGTAATCTGCGTATTAATGTTATTTTAATTTCTGTTTTATTATACATTTAGCCTTCATTCACCGGTATCTTTGAAGATAAATTATGTATATATATATATATATATATATATATATATATATGTAATACTAAAAATTGAAAATATATAATTTTTATGATAAATTTATGCAAAAAAATATCTTTTATTTGATAGTGAAAATTTATCGAACAAAAATCGCACATCGCTGTTTTTGATTTGTTTAGTACAACTACATATAATTTTTTATCTGTTTAACAGTTTATAATTAAATTTTACAATTAAAAAATTAACTAAATGGATGCGTTGTTTTGTTTCAAATGCGCAAAAAGAAAGAATACAGAATAAAGAAAAAATTAAATCTATGAAATTTGTGGCATTGTTGCTCCTCATCGTCATTCTCAGGGTTGCACCGTGGTGTCACTTATCTTGTTATGCAACTATAATAACAAAATAACAGTTTGCATCTCACGTAGTACGTTTCGACACCCGTCGCAATTGTCTTCATTAGGATTCATTGCTCGTAAAGCTGGTTCTTGAAACCAAAAACACGAAAACGACGAATGTTATTTATTATGCAAATCGGTGCACGGGCAATGTGTCGAAAGAAGAGAGCATCAACAACGGACGCAACGGCCTCGTCGGCACCAATCAATTTTTTAACTAGGATCCACTTCGAAATATTTTGGCTAACTTTGTAGGGAATGTGCGAACGCTACCATAGTAATCTCTAATTATGTAAATTTATATATATATATATATATATATATATATTTATTTATTTAATAGTACCATTTTACCTCAAGGAAGGTTTTTTCCGATATGTCCAAATGATCGATATAAATAATAAGAATTGAGAATTAGTCAATTGTAAAATCGAGACCTTGAAGTTTACTGTGATGCTTGATTTTTTAATTTGACACAAATTTGCTAAGTATCCCATTAGAAAAATATGCTCCGCTTATGATAACTGGAGAATGTTACCAAGTATTTGATCTATTTTTTTAATATTTTGTACGATCACTGCATCAATTGCACCATTCATTTACCTTAGTTATTGGATCATTCTTACTATTTATCATTTCCAATCCGAATTTGTTTTTGCAAAGTGATAGAGTTCATGATATATATTGGTCACTCTCTTAAGACATACTTAAACAACTGATCGATAATAGGTACAAGTAATGTTTGGAACTAAATACAAAACTTAATAATCTGCAATGGTTTCTTACATTACAGTAACTGGTTATCTTTAAAACTAAGTTAATATACTGATTTCTCATTGATTATATCAATCATTAACACATATCGGTGAGTTAGTGCTTCTTGCCATAAGGCCACTTACACCTAGATGATCTTTTATTGCGAGTTGTTCGATATTATTTCTATTTCATTGTATTAATTTAAGCATTAATATTTTACATACTTAGTAGAACTATAGTTTCGAAAAGTACTTACAATCTTAAATCGAAATAAAATTTATAATGAATATAATTTATGACTATATACCATTCGGGAAACACGTGAAAAATTTGTGTGTGTGTAATTTATTGCACGTGCTACATGTTATTATCGGGCCTGTACCGCGAACATTTCTTCGCTCTTCGTTTATATTTATCCTGTGATACAATAGACAGACCCACAATTGGAAATATAAATAAAATCGTAGGTCACACGTTATAATTTTAACGTGACTCGTAAATCGGTAGTTCCAGCAGATTGATGCGAAATATAAATAGAATTATTAAATATAGACTCGCAAACGTAAACATACACCGTTCACGATGCAATAATTCTAGTTTCAATACTGTTTCATGTTTTTGATTACATTCATGACTTATTAGCAAATATCATGAACATATAATCTTACTTTAGTCAAAATATATTCAAACTAGTATATTGAACAATAAAATCAAATGCGCTAAATTTTGAAGTCTTTGATAATATGTATGTGACAAACCGATATCATTATAAATTATAGCAAGCGCAGTAACAATAATTTTTAATAACAGCATTTTAAATGGTTTCGAATATACAGAAAACGCTACATTAATTGAAAAACTTGAAAATTGAAATTGAAACTACAAAAGTGAAAAACTTGCACACTTTACAAAAGGATTGAAAAATCCAAAATTGGATTACACGTGCGTTTGGACGCGTAGCCTTTGCACACGTTCGGGCACGTGGGTCTTACCTCATGGTCGAATATTAAGTTAATACATCATATCTTCGTCTACTTCCAAAAATTTAGATGAAATTCAAAGCAAACAGCATCCTACAATTTCATTCAATTTATTTGAATCTGTAATACAAATCACGTTTGTCACTTTAACTGACGATAGATTTTTTTTTGCTAATAACTTGGTGTAAGTTTCGACACCAAAAGCCGGATTATTTATTTAAAATTTTAAGTTAATCGTTATTAATTATGAAACTTTTCATACATTATTTTAATTTTTATAGACATAATTTAAAATAATTGAATAAATTTTAACGTAAGATAATATTTGCTTGGTATACAATTTTATTTTTATTACGCCTAAAACATATTGCTCACTTTTACATTAATGTGATATGATCCGCCAGATGCGTTACTTTTTGAAAATCAATGTGCTGGATTGATGATTTAAAAAATACATGTAATAACAAAAATCAATTAAACTTTAATTTTCAGTTATATAAAACTTTGAAATCTGATTATTTTAACTTCTTTACAATTTCAATGTTCAATCTGAACACCAGAACATACTATTCAAATCCAAGTTCGAACAAAATACTACAATCTAAATTGAATTTTTCGTAAAGTCGTAATTAAAAATATCATATGCTAAATATAGACTATCTAATACCTATACGGAATGTTTTTTCGCGCTCCAGTTTTTCTTGCTCGTGTATATATGTTGTTGACTCAGAAATGTTCTGTTGAATAAGACATCAAACAAAGTATTTTGCACTATCAAATATTTCCATAGTATCATATACTTATATAGTTCATAAAAATGTGTAAATACATAAATATCTGTGCTCATTAATCAATTTATATTATACATATTATTTAACCCTCCGTCGGTCGGATATTTTTTCACCTTTGAACGGTCGGAAAGGTCTGGCTGGACCACCATTCATTTTACATGCATTTATATGGGATAAATGAGTTTTTGGTGTCTTATATATTAACGATTATTAGTAGTAAATATTTATAGTTTTGATTTTCTCTATTTCTTACCGTCTTTTGCATGTGTTGAGCTTGCTTATAATAAAAATATTACATATTATATTATATAAAAAAATCAAGAAATATAATGAAATCATTGCTTTTTTTGTTAATTTTTCTGTTTTATATCAATGAAAAACAATATTTATTCTTTTTCGGCATGTTACATAAAATGTTATAAAATTGTTACGAATTTCATTTCGTCTAATTTTTTTGTATTTTATTGATTTTTTATTTGTTTGACTCGTAAAACCGTTTTCCACGCCAGCCCTTAACGCTTACATAATCAGTTTGATAATTATGTACGTAAATATACAGTACAGATGTACAGACTACAAACCGAAGATGCCCGTGACGCACAATTCGCATCTAGAGACACGTGACGGATGACAGGCTGGTTACCGGTTGCATTCCTATGAGTCCTATGACAGAACACATTGCCTAGCAATCTAGAAATACTCATCCGATACTGATTTTACATTCAGTTAACTATTTTGTTAACGAACCTTTGCCCTGAGGACCCTTGGACCTTGAATCGTATTTAATTAAAAAACAATAGTTTCAGAGCTTCTGAAAAAGGGGGCATCCCATATTGGCGAAACGTAGAAAAAATTATAAAAGTCATACAAATATTTTTTTTTGAAAGAGGGAACTTTTAGTTCAGATGAAGAAAATCACAACATATATGTATATACATATTCCACTTTTCATAGCGCTATAATGTTTTAGGAAGTTCGTTTCGACTATCAATTTAATATTTGTGCAAAATTTTATCAAATTATCCTCTCATGT